AAGAAAGAAAGAAAGAAAGAAAGAAAGAAAGGAAGAAAAGAAGAAAAAGAAGAAGAAGAAATAATCGCAGTTTTGTAATTTAACATTCGAAGGTGTATATGAAAGAACGCATTTATCGTATGATTGATTGTGTATTATGCATGTACTGGTTTGCGATTGATCGAAATGGATTGACTTTCTTTTTGATTGAATTAATGAATTTTGAAAAATCACGAAAATATCATATTATTTGAAAATGAATGTTTTCCATTAAGAAAAGACACAGATGAAGCAATGACGAATATCTGGGAAGAATGAAACGTACAATATAAAAATTAAATTATATGTATTATACTTATGTGCCAGTATTATTGGTCGTGCATATCAGTACATAATACACGAAACAATGAATAATGACTTAACGATTGTAACATGCCTTCCGAAATGACCGATATCGATTTATATCAAGGATTGTGTAATGCGTATACGGTCATTATTTATCTACATTCCATACTTTTTGCTAAAGTAATTACTATCCTCGAACGATTTGTATTTTTATTCTTATACAAACTCATTACAAGTATTTTGCGAGATTAAACAAATATGTAAATGACATATACGAACAATTTCCATATCGATTTTTCGATAAAATAATTGTTATTGCTTTACGACAATTTTATTTCGGAAACGAAACTTGTCTCGATTTAAAATTAATATAAAGGAATTACAGATATGAATGTGCTATCATTTTACAAGACGTAAATATATCTAATTTTTCTAACAATATCCTGATTTACTGATTTCTATGAATTATATTGCCAAATTTTAATTTTACTTTTTCATATTGACTTTCATATTATATCGAATGTGTTGCAAACTCATATATCTCAAAAAAAAGTTTTTTATTTAATATCTTACACGGAATTTAACTACACGAATGATAATGAATTATACAAAATATGCTTTATTTTTATCCAATACGTATCCTCTGTATATATGTATGTGTGATATATGGTAAAACATTGGAAACATTTAATATCATTATTTCTAAATACCATAGATGAAATATAAAAAAAAAAGGATAGAAAATAATAAAAGGAGAACAAATATAGGATAAAAATTGATTATCGACGCCATCTTTCGAGTATAAAGACATATCTCGAAAAGAACTCAACAGATGGTGCTATGATTATTTCTATATTTCGCCGCACTTTGGAAATAGCGTTGATTTCCAAATTGTGTCCAATCTCTATCTTTCTTCCATTATTTCTCCTTTTTTTCTGCACTTGCTTTTGGCGCGTAACAAAGGATAGAACATTAATTAATACATACTTTCATGATTTTTTTTTTTCTTAGGATTACAATGTCTTAATCTTTAATGTAAAAAAGAAAAGAAATAATAATATTCTCGGCTTTTTTTTTTTAATAGAACGTAACTCGTATCTCGATATTCAACGAATGTTATATATATATTGTTATATAAGGATAGATAAGACGTAGATTATAATAGAAGAATCATCAAGTATAAAAATTTATATCTTCGGGAGAGTGAATAAGAAAAACGAAGGAAAGACATTGTTAATATGATAATTTGATAAAATATAATTATATATATATATATATATGATTTTATTATAGTTATAGATCGACGTTTAAATTAAATCAACAAATTTGAGTCGGTATATTTTTTCCATTCGTTTGTCGATAAATATATGTCGATAAAATAAGGAAAATCGTAGAAATTGGTTAATATTCGTGTTTCGAAGAGATATAAATTATCGGCACAGTATTGGTAGCGTTTCGCAGCTAACTTCAATTCTATTGGCTATCTTTTGAACATATACACTTACATATATATAAGGTGGAACGCAAACTCGAGTAGTATCAGTGGATGGAAAATGGCGACATCGAAAAGTCAGCGTTGGATGGTAGATTCGGGCATTCTGCGTAAAAGAAATGGAGAAGAGGAACCACAGGAGCTGTTGGTGTTTGGATATAGCTGCAAATTATTTCGAGATGATGACAAGGCGAAAATGATTGATCAAGGAAAGCATTTGATACCATGGATGGGCGATAGCACGTTGAAAATAGACAGGTCCGTTTCCCTAACCTAGACAAATTTATCATCTAGGATATTTATTCTTACATAAATGCACCGTACATATAACCTTTAGAAGAACGATTAATCGAAGCTAAACGAAATGCAGCAATTGGGAAAATTCAAGCATAAAAATGGTTTACGTACGGATAAGCAATTTGGAGACTGTTTAAGGTTTCTGCAGGTGTCTTGGCTGCTTGAACAGGCGGTGTGGAAGCGCGATATATACGCGCTCTGCACGGCCGTAGAGCAACGTGCTCTCATGACGTTGGTGTTTGTGGCTGACCGTCGGCGCAGCAGCAAGGTGAGACACAGCGTAGAGAGACAATCGGCAGCTGACGATTGTAGGTGTACTACAATCGTTCAGCATGGTATGTATTTTAGCGTTCTAGAATCGGGCGTACCGATATATGTACGACGTATATAACGACGCAGAACGCGTTTCCTGTTGTTCGCTACTGCTTCTGGATCCGTTACTAAAATTGAAAACGGTCGTACATGTAAGACGTTTCGTTTTGTTGTTGATCGAACAAACGCGACGAGAAAGATATATACGTTTCGTGAGATCGGTTATTAAAAATTTCTATCAATATTCTTCGTAATAGAGTTTGAATGAATGGATCAACAATTTTATCGTTATCGTCGTTGTTACGATTTTATAATTTCGATAATTTGTATTGACAATTTTTAAACGTTGATTTCCAAATCGATAATGAGAAAACAAAGATAAACGGGATGAATATTGAAAAAAGAAAAAAAATATGTGATCGAGTATGGAGTATAATTGTATTCTATTTCAGAGAAATTTTGACTTTGACTCAAGCAGGGTTCGCTTCGTGACATTAATTTCCAGATGCCGCAATCGGGCAAATTCTCCGAATTCTATGCATACCATCTCTTCTACCTTTAAATTGATTTATGTATGTGTATAGATACGATGGACGCGGTGCTCTGGGGGACTTGCGGATATACGAACCACCGACAGGTGGGTTCGATCAACGAACGATCTTGACGGAAGATGAAATAAAAGTGGAACAATTATGCGACGAAGAGCGGTATCGGTCTCTTTATAATAATGAAATGGAAGATTCCGTTTATCACGGTGAGTAAAAGAGATAATGTATGCGATATATATATATATATATATATTTATAAACGAAATTTATATCGAAATCGAAAATGAAAGAAGA